CATTGCACACCATTTAAAGTAAGTGCACAAACTACTTTTATTCCCTAACCTGAAAACGAAGTCTGTGTTCAAACAACCAAAATTTTGACATATGCCCAGAATACTTTTAAACATTGTCACGACATTATATATGGCTCGAGCTGTTATTTGGGTGAAGATGGTTGTTGTTACGCCCTGGGTCGTACCGCGTGTCTTCAGGCTAATTCATCAAATTCACACTGTCTTTGTTTCTTACTGAATGTCAAATCAGCCGACAGGAGAAAAGTTTTCATTTAATTACAAATATCATAACGCATGATTTGCATTAGTTATTTTTATTAACCCCGGTAGGGAAATTCTGTTGACTACTAGTGACTGAAAGGATGAGGAAGAGAACTTCCCTATCCCAACCTTTTGCTACCAAGCAAAAACATTTTCCTGGAGAACTTTGGAAAAAAAAACAAACTGTTTTCAAGCAGAAAATATTCCTGTTGCTGATTAGTCAATTCAGTGGCCAATGAAAAGTCTCCACCACATCCTGTTTCTTTTCCTTTTTTTTTTTTTTTTTTTTTCGTCAACTGATCCTGTTATCTAAATTGTATTTCAGAAATACCATATATTTCTCACAACTGCTGTAGCTGTTTCTTAGTCAGATAGTCCATCGTTAATCTTATCCCCCCCACACACACAGAGAATGTAACAAATTCGTTATTATTTTTAAATTACCATAACACGTTGGGAAACGTAGTGAAGTGGGCTTCCTGTTGCCGCTCCACACTTTGAAATTCATAATAATCTTTCTACTAGACTGGCTGACAACAAAGGCTAGAGGATCTAGTTGATTTAATCCATAGCTGGGTAGGTGAAGAAATGGATTCATGCAATTCTTCCGGAAAATAGTGGATTACTGATTACCTTTCTAGGGTTTGGATTTCAGATTTCATTTCTCAGGTTGTTTGGCGCACAAAGCTAGGCACCCGTTTTCTACCTTGGCTGAAGGGACAAGAGACGGATTCGTTTCTTTTTCATAACGTGTAAATGAGAAAGTGAAGTTAGCTCAGAATTCGAACTCGACTCCCCCGTTCCGATCTCCACGCTGAAATCCGTTACAATGCATTCAGATGAGAAAATGAGGGTGAAAGACGGAAGTCATTTTTTTTTCATCAGTTCAGCCCAAGCAAGGCGATAATGCCACTAAGACGCACTTAGACGTCAATAACGGCAAACGGGTTCAGGAAACTTTCATTACGGATAGAAGCTGCAAAGAAGAACAATCGTTTTATTTATTTCATTACAAGAATTTACAAAAAGGAACGATCAGGTAGCTTATCTTCATACACTGCCTGGTGGCAAACTCTGCTGGTGGCACTAGGGGTGGCGGTCCCGCCATAGCCACCGAAACCGTGATATCACCCCTGGTCGGCGGCTGATGAAGACAGGATATCGTACGTGATAACACACCTTGTATGTTAAAAAAATAGAAAGAACCGTAAACCCAGTACTAAACTGGAAACAAGGAATAAAGCCCTACTTCTATTCAAGAGACCAGAGGGCAGTGTGTATATTTTTATTTTTTTTTTTATCTGAATATTCTGTGTGATAGTGATCCTAGGTTAAATAAAAGTTTCATATTTCCTTCTCTTTAGCATATCCATCCATACCTGTCCAGTCGTAATGACATGAGAGATTGTCTCGCTGAGCTGCAAAGCGCTGTATCCAGGAATGTTATTTATTGTTTACAGCGTACGACCGTATCAAATAAATAAATAAATAAATAAGAGCATCGCTAAGTGTTTATAAGAATCCGATAAAATTCTTCATCCAAAATCAATAGCCACGTCAGCATGGGCGTCGCATGCGCCGTCGACGGCACTCCAAGTTGCCCAACAGCGCGTTGGCATGGCGAACATCAATTTCGTAAAATTGTAATCGGTTTCCACAAATTTCATTCTCGCTTGTTCTTTCGTTCTTTTATGTCATGGAGTTCCCTCCAATCAACTTGCACAAAAGAACAGTTATCAGGTCGAGTGGTTTAATTGAAGGTTTAATTGCATTTCGAAGAAACTTTTGACTCTGAGAGCTGCGAATTCTTTAGACTTAATCGAATCAGGACGATGAAATGGAATCAGATATCTTACGGCGACTATGATGGGACTGGTAGAGAGCAATAAGAAGAGAATTTATTTAAATTACTGTACACACACACACACACACACACACACATATATATATATATATATATATATATATATATATATATATATATATATAACCTAAAAGAGCCAGGCAAAGCTACCTAGGTTTCACTTATGCGGATCGTCAGGGTACACTGGTGTAAATGTACCCTGACGATCCACGTAAAGGAAACCTAGGTAGGTTTGCCTGGCTCTTCAGGTTCATAGTTAGATTTACTCTACTTAGTGTATTGAGCACTTTGCTTAGTTATTTTTACTTTACTCGTGTTGGGTTTTTTTTTTTCTTTGGTCTCTGAGCTTGGATTCTGGGCGATTGTTTTCGCCACAATTACATGTTCTTAGTTCTTTCTTTTTTTTTTATCCCTTATTTTTCCTTGGGTATTGATTTGTTCATTTACAAGCCAAAACACCTAAGGTTTTTCCAGATGATTATAATTACTTATATTTATAATATATATATATATATATATATATATATATATATATATATATATATATATAAACGAAGCTTAGCATAATTTTGTCTATATATGATAGAGGCATAAATAAAGCTATAAAATATACATAAAAAAGCAAAAAAAAAAAACAACAATTTTAATATTCGTCCGACGTTCTAATCGAACAAATACAGTAGCAGATAGAAAATGGCGGATATTTTAAGAATAGCGTTACAAAATGGCTAACTGCTGATCAGAAAACGCTGTTGGTGTGTAAATTCTTACAATGGTGAATATATTATGTTTAAGTTTTGATATAATACGAAAAAGGTTCGAAGGTACAGAGACGGCTACAAGAAATTGTAAGTGACAACACGCCGTCTGTATCCAAATTTCCGATTGGAACGAGTCAAAAAACAGATAACAAAATGTAGCCAAATGGTGGGTAGGTTCCTTTGATAATCTCGCCCCACCTTCCACATTGTCCGATTAAAACTTCCGAGCCTTTATCCATTACACCACCAGGACCCTTCCTAAGCAATCACCCATCTAGTTACTGTACGGGCTGGATGTTGCTTAACTCCGCTGATGGTATCGAAAATCGACTCTCCGATTATCAATTCCCAGTGTTTATCCAATGCACCACCAGTACATCCATCCTTGCAGCGTCTGGTATTCCAAAGCGGTCACCCATCTAGTTACTGTACGGGCTGGACGTTGCTTAACTCCGCTGATGGTATCGAAAATTGACTCTCCGATTATCAATTCCCAGTGTTTATCCAACGCACCACAAGTACATCCATCCTTGCAGCGTCTGGTATTCCAAAGCGGTCACCCATCTAGTTACTGTACGGGCTGGATGTTGCTTAACTCCGCTGATGGTATCGAAAATCGACTCTCCGATTATCAATTCCCAGTGTTTATCCAACGCACCACCAGTACATCCATCTTTGCAGCGTCTGGTATTCCAAAGCGGTCACCCATCTAGTTACTGTACGGACTGGATGTTGCTTAACTCCGCTGATGGTATCGAAAATCGACTCTCCGATTATCAATTCCCAGTGTTTATCCAACGCACCACCAGTACATCCATCCTTGCAGCGTCTGGTATTCCAAAGCGGTCACCCATCTAGTTACTGTACGGGCTGGATGTTGCTTAACTTCGCTGATGGTATCGAAAATCGACTCTCCGATTATCAATTCCCAGTGTTTATCCAACGCACCACCAGTACATCCATCTTTGCAGCGTCTGGTATTCCAAAAGCGGTCACCCATCTAGTTACTGTACGGACTGGATGTTGCTTAACTCCGCTGATGGTATCGAAAATCGACTCTCCGATTATCAATTCCCAGTGTTTATCCAACGCACCACCAGTACATCCATCCTTGCAGCGTCTGGTATTCCAAAAGCGGTCACCCATCTAGTTACTGTACGGGCTGGATGTTGCTTAACTTCGCTGATGGTATCGAAAATCGACTCTCCGATTATCAATTCCCAGTGTTTATCCAACGCACCACCAGTACATCCATCCTTGCAGCGTCTGGTATTCCAAAGCGGTCACCCATCTAGTTACTGTACGGGCTGGATGTTGCTTAACTTCGCTGATGGTATCGAAAATCGACTCTCCGATTATCAATTCCCCAGTGTTTATCCAACGCACCACCAGTACATCCATCCTTGCAGCGTCTGGTATTCCAAAGCGGTCACCCATCTAGTTACTGTACGGGCTGGATGTTGCTTAACTTCGCTGATGGTATCGAAAATCGACTCTCCGATTATCAATTCCCAGTGTTTATCCAACGCACCACCAGTACATCCATCCTTGCAGCGTCTGGTATTCCAAAGCGGTCACCCATCTAGTTACTGTACGGGCTGGATGTTGCTTAACTTCGCTGATGGTATCGAAAATCGACTCTCCGATTATCAATTCCCAGTGTTTATCCAACGCACCACCAGTACATCCATCCTTGCAGCGTCTGGTATTCCAAAGCGGTCACCCATCTAGTTACTGTACGGGCTGGATGTTGCTTAACTTCGCTGATGGTATCGAAAATCGACTCTCCGATTATCAATTCCCAGTGTTTATCCAACGCACCACCAGTACATCCATCCTTGCAGCGTCTGGTATTCCGGTCACCCATCTAGTTACTGTACGGGCTGGATGTTGCCCAATGGTATCGAAAATCGACTCTCCGATTATCAATTCCCAGTGTTTATCCAACGCACCACCAGTACATCCATCCTTGCAGCGTCTGGTATTCCAAAGCGGTCACCCATCTAGTTACTGTACGGGCTGGATGTTGCTTAACTTCGCTGATGGTATCGAAAATCGACTCTCCGATTATCAATTCCCAGTGTTTATCCAACGCACCGCCAGTACATCCATCCTTGCAGCGTCTGGTATTCCAAAGCGGTCACCCATCTAGATACTGACCAGGCTCGACGCTACTTAACTTCGCTGGTCGTACGGGGGGCAGTATTTCAACGTGATGTGGCCAGAAGCCCTGAAAGATGAAGAAGTGACTTCAAACAACAGAAATCTTGTTCTACAGTAGGATGCTGAAGATAACAGGAAGCGAATATATGAGAAAAATTATAGTTTTTTTTTTTTTAATGGACGCTTATCGTAAGAAATTAGGCTCGCCATTACGTTTTATCCGCTATTCGTTTTCTCCAGAGAACAGTCAGTGTCAATGGAATAATTTCCTGACAATCTCCAGTGACAAGGGTTGGGTGCCTCTTCATTTTTTAATGTAAGGGGATAAAAAAGGCTGCCATTTTGATTGGGGGGAGTGTCGCCGTTTGTTACATTATGGAGGCATGGTGGAGTAATGGATAGCGGCTTGGATTGAGCAATCGGAGAGCCGAGTTCGAATTCCAGTCAAATCCATTAAATTCACTTACGTGCTAATACCCTTGGGAAAGGTATGAATCCTCTTCATCCCCCCGGCGAGTCATTTAAATACCAGGTTGGAATCTGGCGCGGGATAGTCTTTCTTAGAGGAGGGTGAATGGAGTCTCCCTGAGCCTTGGTTGGCAATCCATTTAGTGATGGTGTCGCGATAAAAACACCCTTGATAGCCCTAGCGAAGCATCAAGAATTCAGCTATTGACAAGATTATGAACGACACCAATCAAACTATTGAAGATAGCGACTGGAAAGGTGTAGTGAGTTCGATCTCTGTTGGGGCCGAAAAAAAAAACGTTACATTATGAGCGAAGTATTTTCCAGAATATGCTAATATTAATAAACTTCAGTATATCTGCTCCACGACGCTATTACAATGCAGACTCAGTTTGACAAATGGATGACCGATGTATTAATACGGATTTAAGATGCGCATGCGTATCAATTACAAATCTATGGCTCCTATACTTTAAGGCAGTTGAAAAAAAACGACATTACTTTTACAAGCATATATTTTAAAATGAACTACTACGGTGATTCTATTAAATCGATTTTCTTAGACGTCCGGATTACGTCGAGGCAAGGAGAGAAAAACGAGGAATAAAGTATAGACATCTTTATAACAAAGGTAACTGGATTATAAGTGGACATGATTTATAGTTTGTATATGCCACAAGAAAATAACTTCTTATGCAAGTATATATATATATATATATATATATATATATATATATATATATATAGATATATATATATAGATAGATAGATAGATAGATAGATATAATGCACTCTCCCGTCGGTTTCGACGTATGAGGATCTGATAGTTTAATTGATTCACTTATGAGATTTTGTGCGATAATCTTAAATGGCACTTAAGACACGCTGGTGATTTACAAAGGAGGCCTCATATGGAACAAGATTGAGGGCTGTGAGATGAGATCACTGTTAGATTGTCTGTCTTTTTAGATCCTGCTCTCGCTTCTTGAAGATGATTCAGACAAGCAGGATGAAAACTGCTGAGTCCAATAAAACACGTTGATCTCTATCTAAGCGCTCATGGGTGTTATGTGGTATATTGACAGCTGACAAGTTGCTTTTCAGCTTGTCTTTGTATCTAACCATGGGCATCCTACATTCTTGTAGCCCTGATCTAACTGGCTGTACATTAAGATCTTGGGTATCCTGTCATCAGACATTCTCAGGACATGACTAGTCCTCCGTAACTGAGACTGTATGAGAAAAGTCTCGATTCCTTCCATATTACACTTGTTAAACAGGTCTATGTTAGATGTCCTATCTTGAAGCTTAACTCCTCAGATTGCACACAGACAGTTTATATATATATATATATATATATATATATATATATATATATATATATATATATGATTAGGAAATTCTAAGACAAAATGGAAAATTTTAGGACTTCATCCGATTAAACCTGTCACAAATAATTTTTTTACTTAAAGTTTCCTCAATACTGTTCTTGATATATAAACATATATATATATATATTTATCTTATACACACATATCAGTCAGTTATGTGCCATGCGTGATACACTTTTAGGTGATCATGTATTTTTCGATACATGACTTACGAGGCAGATTTTTTCCCCGCAGTAGGTTTCCATTTTTTCCTGCGGTAGGCCAGGTGCCATCCAATTCTGCTATTTATCCATAGCTGGGGTGGGGAGAAGAAAAGTATTCGTACCTTTCTCAAGGGTATTAGCACGTAAGCGAACGTAATTGATTTGTCTGGAATTCGAACTCAGCTCTCCGCTTCCTCAATCTGTGCCGCTATCCATTACTCCACCGTGATATATCTATATGTCTATACAAAGAATATGGCATAAAATCGAACCGAATGACTTACAAGATATTTATTTATTAACTGTAACAAATAACAGAAACCTCAGCGTCCTGTGTATGACGATAAACTATATCTGCGTCCTGGGTAAAACGATAAACTACATCCAACAGCAAGTCCTCTGAAATGCTGGTTTTGAGGAGCGTGGAATCACCTTTTAATTGCTGGCATTCCCAGATCCACCCTGACCCGCGGTGGTAACACCTGTTAGGCTCCCATCTATGGGCAAATACTCCCCCCCACACCACCCAAAAAAAACCTGCGATCAAAACAATATGAAAGTATAAAAATAGTTTTTAATACCAGCAAATATTACTAGCAATAAATTTTTGAAGGAAAAATTATTTCAGGCATTACATTATTACCATGAAGACTTTATTGAAAAAAAATATTACCAGCAACACATTTTGGGGAAAAAATATTACCAGCTGTACATTTTGGGGACAAAAATAAAATATTCACAGTAATATATTTTCGAAAAAAAATTAGTAGCAATATTTTTAAAAAATATTAGCAGCAGTATTTAAAAAATATTACCAGCAATAGATTTTTGAAAAAATTATTACCAACAATAAAAATCTTGTCGGCATTAAATAACCCATTGAGGTTGACAGGCCGTAAAACAAACCAAACCAAACCAGAAACCTCATCATTTCAGGTGTTTCAAAATCTGCAACAACTAAAATGGTTAGCACATGTAACTTCATGAGAAATTAATGACATAATCCAAATGCTGACATTTCGCACTACCTGAAGGTAGGAAAGAAATCCCCGTCAATACTCGAAAGAGCAATATAAGTAAACTTGAGAAATGTATTTTTCTGAAAATTTTTTCAACAGAAATATTTTATAAATTTCAACCTAAATTAGCACTGGCTGCTCGATTAATGAAAACTGAATGTTTCCTTGTAAAGAAACGTCTAACATTACCACTACCCTTGCAATTTCAGTAAAAAAAATGTTCATGGCGATTTTCTAAGCGTTTCTTTGATGTGGCACAAGGTCGAGACTATGAGGAACGCTGTTAGGATCGAATTCAATATTAGCACATAACAGATTTACCGAGGTAATCTTGCTGACCATTACATCATGTCAAAGTGCCTAAACTACAAATCTATGGCGATTTTCATAAGCGTAGTTTGTATATGGCTCAATGCCGAGAGTGTGGGGCACTCAGTGAGGATCGAACTCACTACCCAGCCGTAATTGTTCTAACGAGACAAGCTTGCTAACTATGACACCGCGTCAAGGTCCCCCCCAATCTAGGTATCATCATATATGGAGTTTCATGTTCTTGTTGAAGCCGGTTTATTCCAGTCTCCTGTTAAAGTAAAACATACAAATGAAAGCTTTCAGTTCTGACATAGAATCTTTTTTTAAAAAGTGAGGTCTACCCTGTACAACGCCCGGGGGGGGCACTTGAGATCGAAAGTTACAGAGTAAGAGACAGTTCAGGCGGATAGGAGGGGAAGATGACGATTAAAGTTCGACTTGAATAGGTGAAAATAGCTTTCACACATGAAAAAAAAAAACCTGTTGTATTGGTAACGTTAGTGTGAGCTTTTAGTGACTTTATTTCAATGCCAGCAAGTTCGCCTATAGTCCGAGTTAAAATATATATTTGAAATAAATTCACATATTCTAGGATTAAACAACAATTTAGGTCTACTCAAAGAATACAGTTTCGGCAGAAAGCCTTCCAGGAGAAGAAGGGAAGATAAAGATTAACGTTAGACTAAAGCTGATGAAGATTGTAGTGATCAAGGAGACATCCTCTCATGTGTCGGTTCCGCTGATCAGTCGTTCAAGGGAAGAAACTGTCTTTGAGAGAAAATACAACGCTCTGCTACAATGATACTTTGTCATACTTCTTTATCAACGGTATTCTTAAAAAAAATGAACTAGAATGACATTTTATTCAATTATATATTCCTCATTATTTACAATGACTTGTGGCCAAATGAAGTGCAGCCTAATACATTCATTTTTTACTTTTTACTTGTCAGATTTTCTTTTATCGTTGCTTCTAATCGTAACATTTTTATAGAGCACTAGCAGCATGGCCCGGCGTTACCCGTGCTTGATTCAAAAATCGCTCGACTCATACAGCAATCGCTATCACTTGACTTAAAATATTTTTGCCCTTCCTTGCCTTTTGCCGTGCAGATGTTGCTACATGCCTTACTTCTTGCCTATCTCACACCGCAAATTTTTTTCTAAGCTCTATACTAAATATTAAATCTGTTACGAAAAAAGAACTAAACAAAATAAACACAAAACGATCAGCTTTAAAAAAGGACTCGTAATTGGAAAAACCGAATGAACAAAGAATGTTAACAACAAATACTTTTTCATACCCAGCCCAGTTCTGCGGAATCAGAATCAACGTTGAGTTTAAGCAAGCGAATGAACCAATTGGAGTAAAGTGCCATGCAGATTTAAATTTTTCCCACTTGTCACGAATGCAGCTATCGATTTTTTTTTTTTTGCGTGCTAGCATGCTAGTTAACATTCACGTCAGTCAGCTGTTGGCTCTCACGCTGGCCAATAGAATCTTCCTGCCTATTCGTAGCAGCCAGGCTCTCACTCTGGCCAGTACACAATGGCCACAAACTACATGAAAAGTGCCGTAGAAGCATGAAAAAATCGATTATTTCCACTATCGATGGGAGTGGGAAATGCAAAGTCGGTCTTGGTCTTCCCGCCAACTTAGAGCATGTG